TAAAACCCCAAAAATAATTGAACTCAAGCCAAAAAGAGTAATGCAGAAAAATGCTAAGCATTTGAAGGTAGACAGTGACTTAGGGAGATTCTAAACTTCACTAGTTATATGTGAAGATTTGGATGAATACCTGTGAAAAATACATGAATATTCCAAAGCAGAATAGATCTGATATGTCTACTCTAGAAAATATTAGGTTCTTTCTCCTAAGCAATATAAAAAGTGCATGAAGTTAACTTGATTACCATAAAACTGAGGATCTGCAAACTGGTTCCCTACTTTGGTTGTGTAACCATTTAAACTTTGTCGTTTGTGACATCTTTAGATCAATTCACATCTTTATACTGCCCTCAAAGCCACAGAGAACATCTCCAAAGAATGATCCAAAGACCATTTTTAAGTAAATTATTAATGAATGATCTGAAGACCATTTTCAAGCAACTTATTAATGAATGATCCTAAGACTATTTTCAAGCAAATTCTGATAACTGTTTACTGAACTACTAGTATTTCATCTGTGTAAAGCTAAAAAATCTTTCATAGGTTTCATAGAGTATTAGACTTTATAGGTATCGAATGCGTATGGATACAAAAAAGAATTCTACACACTTTCTCAAGATTATATGTGACCTGTGAGAATTTTCAGTTACGTATTTTAATATTTTCAAGATTTAGGTTTCGTGCATCCTTTAGGGGTAAGGCAGTGTCTCCCAATGGTGGCGAAGGGAACTTGTTATTAAAATAGAAACTCTAACATATATGTTTGTGGCCTTTGGCTTCTATTGTTGCACCCTCCATCTCAAATTATTTGTCGTACTTTCTAAAAATAGTTATTTCATATTATTTATCATTTTAGAAGTTCAAGATAAAATAAATTATATTTTTTTCACTTTACCCAAAAACAGCAAATGAATTACTTCTCTTAGATATTGCTATGAAAAACTAAAACGAATAGTGCTTAGAGCAAATACTTGGTTACTAGAACTCAAGTACAAAACAAACCAAGAGCAGCAGATTCAGACGTTATTATCTTGTAAAAAAATGCAGAAAACAGTATATAGCATGCTAAACAACAATAAAGCATCTGTAGTTTTTAATACTGTATCCAAACTACAATGGGCCTAATTCCTCTAGTGTATCATATTTTCCCCCTAATTCCTCTAGTCTATCATTACATAAAAAAGAAAAGGCGATCTAACAAATTCATAATGATCAACAGGTAAGGAAAAAGATAAAATCTTTCAGGCTTCATAAAGCTAAATCGAATTCAAAATCTAATAATAATCCTCTAAAATTAAAATGAAAGGAGATTACAAATTCAAATGGGTCTATGAACTTAGGACCCAAGAACCCAACTACACACACAAAATCTAGGTTTTCAGGCATGGGGAACCCTAGGTTTTTAGGCATTTAGGGTAAAATCAGAAAAAGGAGAAAGGAAGGGAGAGAGAGAGAGAGAGAGAGAGAGAGAGAGAGAGAGAGAGAGAGAGAGAGAGGCGTCACTTACCTGTGATTTTGCATGAGTGAAAGCTCCTTGGACAAGAATGGAGGATTTGCAAAGAAGAAATGAGAGAGAAAGAGAAGAATGAGGGTGAAAAAGAGAAGAAAAAATAAGGGATATACACCTAATGTAATAGGAAAGACATGCACTGGGTATATTTGTGGAAATTATCTTATTAAATTTTTTTTTGGTGAAACGTTTTTTAAGCTCGCGGGTTTTTGGACCAAATATAAAAATTCAAAATTTTGAGCTTCCCACTGCATCTGTGGGAAATATTAAAATAATTTTTTATCTTTAGATTCCCACCATTTCACTAGGAATAGTTTAATAATTTTATTTCTAATGACATTTCCCACTGATTCGGTGGAAAAATATTACGAATAATTCCCACCTATAATCTGTGGGAATGTTTTAAAAAAAAGGTTAAAAGAAAACTATCCATTTCCCACAGAATCTTTTAAAATTTCAGTGGGAACTGCCACTGATAATATATCTGTGAGAAATTTCCTTGGCAAATTTGTATTTTTCTAGTAGTGTATAACATAACTAAGTTTTCTGAAGAAACATAATGCCGATTGAAAAAGACGATTCCACCTCTGCTGCTCAAGGTGTTACGAATCCAGCCCTAAATCTTTAGGACATGGAGCTAGTTCATCACAATCATCCTTTATACATTCATTCATCAGCCACGCAAGGTTTAGTACTAATCTTCATTCAACTTCGAGGATCTGAAAATTATTCAATTTGGAGAAGATCTATGAAAATTTTATTGCATGGCAAAAATAAGCAAGGCTTTGTTCTCGGCACTTGTCGGGGGAAATGCATCATCCTAGTCTACATGAACTATGGGATAGATGCAATGCGATTGTTATAACTTGGATTATGAGTATTGTCTCACCAAATCTCATTAGTACTGTGATTTATGCATCTAATGCACACAAGATGTGGAAATATCTTAAGGAAAGGTCTGATAAAGTCAACGCCTCTAGAGGTTGCTATCTTCACAAAAAAATTACTACCTTGCCCAAAGCGTGTCATCTGTGTCCGTGTACTTCTCCGGACTTGGTGTATTGTGGGATGAGTATGAGGCCCTAGATCCTCCACCCTCTTGTGGTTGTCCTGAGTCTAGAAGATAAGTTGAACATTATTAGACACAAAAATTATATTAATTTCTGATAGGTTTAAATGAATCATTTGAACATGCTAAGGATCAAGTTCTTATGACTCGTCTATTACCTAATATCAACCAGGCATATGTCATGATTATTAATGTGGAGAGTTAGAGAAAAAATGGTGTTGGAGTTACTATTGGTATTGGTGCTGTAGTTGCTGACCCTACAACCTTGCTGAGCAACAAAATTTTAGCAGGAGGTTAATAAGTGTACTGATAGGCCTAAAGAGTCCAGAAGTAAGGTACTCTTACCTACTGGTGGTCAAGTCTCTATTAGTAAATCAGGAGAGTCCTCAGTCTTCCAAGATAGAACAGTTCACAATGTCTTATATGTTCTAGAGTTCAAATACAATCTATTGTTTGTTTCCAAAATCACTAAGGACGTAAGTTGCTTGGCTGCATTCTTTTGCTGACCTCTGTTTATTTAAGGAGCTCTTCAGTGGGAAGGTAATAAGGATTGGTAGAGAAGGGCATGGTCTCTACATTTTTCAAGCTAATGGTACATCATTTCCCTTACAAACAGAGAATAAAGAGGCTAAGTGTCTATATCATTCACTTGTAAATACAAGCACTAGTTCATGCGATAAACCTAGTAGTGATACAATAAATAAGACTTGTGATAATACTTCTTTGTGGCATAGAAGATTAGGACATACGCCTTTGAGAGTCTTGAAGAGTATTGATGGTTTAAAAAAATGTACAATTGAAAGATCATGTATGTACTGTGTGTCCCCTTGACAAACAATCAAGATTACCTTTCACTCTCAGTAATACATGTTCTGTTCATACTTTTGATCTTGTGCATGCTGTTATTTGGGGCCCTTATAGAGTACCTACGGACGATGGTAAGAGGTATTTTTATACCCTAGAGATAATTTACCTAGATATACCTGGACTTTCTTATTGACTACTAAAAGCAAACTTTATTATTCTGAAAGATTTCTTGATATTAGTTAGAAATCAGTTATGTTATTGAGTCAAATGCTTGAGAACTGATAATGGATCTGAGTTTGTTAACACTTAGATTAGTTCTCTGTTAAAGGACTTTGGGATAGTTCATCAAAGCTAATGTGTATACACTCTTCAACATAATGGTATGGTAGAACGAAGGCATAAGTATATTCTGGACATGGCTAGAGCTTTAAGGTTTCAAGCCTTCATTCCTTTGAAGTTTGGAGTGAGTCTGTTTCTACTACAGTTTACTTGTTGAATAGATTGCCCACTCCTCTTTTGAAAGGCAAATCACCTATTGAGAAGTTATTTCTTCGACCACGCTCCTTGTATCATTTGAGAGTGTTTGGTAGTCTGTGTTATGCTACTAATGTAAGGAAGACAGATAAATTCAGTCCTAGAGCATTTCCTGTAGTTCATCTTGGGTACTTCTCTTCCCAGAAAGGCTATTCTCCATGCTCTATATACTCATCACTTCTTTGTTAACCGGGATATTATTTTTAAGGAAGGTATGTTTCCTTTTCAATATATGTAATCTGGTCAAGCTCCACCCTTTCTAGTTCTGCAACTTTCAAAGGTGGATGTCCCTGTCTCATCCCCTGTAGTTATGCAACCATAGTGGAGGTTGAGGCTCCTATCTGTGAGATATCTTCTCCTACTAAGTCTACTGGTGTGTCCAGTACTGTTGGTTATCCTGCCCCTCCTACACCACTCAGAAAGTCTTCTAGAGTATTCAAACCTCCTATTTGGATGCAAGACTATGTTGTGCATACTAAGAAGTCCACCTATGACTATCATATAGCTCAATATGTGAACTATGATCAATTGTCTCATGCTTACATAGGTTCTATTGCTGCTTGTTCTATTGTTTTTAAGCCTAGGACATTTGCTAAAGAAAGCAAGGATCCACAGTGGGTGGATGCTATGAAGGCTGAGATCTCAGCCTTGAAGGACAATAAGACTTTGTCTATTGTTGATCTGCCACCTAATAAGGTGCCCATAGAATGCAAATGTGTGTCTAAAGTGAAGTACAATTCTACTAGGGAGGTGGAAAGATACAAAGTAAGACTGGTTGTTAAAGGCTATAGTCAACAAGAGGGCCTTGACTACAAGGAGACCCTTTTTCCTGTAGCCAAAATGGTGACTGTCAAAGCAGTGGTGGCTCTAGCTACAACTTCTGGTTGGTACATATTTCAAATGGATGTCCATAATGCCTTTTTACAGGGAGATCTTGTTGAGGATGTCTACATGTAGATTCCAGATGGCTTTTCAAGCCAGGGGGAGTACAAGAAGGTCTGCAGGCTTCACAAGTCTTTGTAGGGCCTCAAGAAAGCTCATATGCCATAAAACTTAAAATTGTCAGTGGCCTTGATTGATATGGGGTTTGTGCAGTCACACTATGTTTATTCTTTGTTTACACAGAAGAAGGAACGAGAGTTGGTCATTGTTCTTGTTTATGTTGATGACCTCTTGCTCACTGGTAGTTACTTTGCACTCATTCAGCAAGTTAGAAAGGATCTTCAGAGCAAGTTCAAGATGAAGGATTTGGGAGAGCTGAAATATTTCTTGGGTATTGAATTCTCCAGAAATATTTCTTGGGTTTTGGGTTTGGGAGAACTTGTCTCACAAACAAGCTAGTTGGGGCTAAACCTGTTGGAACTCCTATGGAGCTCAATCACAAACTCACTTCTATAGAATTTGACAGAGCTGTAAACAATAAGACAAATGCTAATGATCACCAACTTGAGGACAAAGGTGGTTATCAGAGGATTGTTAGCAGGCTACTATACTTAACTATGATCAGGCCAGACATAATATTTGTTGTTAAAGTACTCAGTCAATATATGCATGCACTAAAGCAATCTCATTTGGAAGCAGCTATGAGAGTGGTCAGATACATTAAGAATGCACCTGGACTTGGCCTCATTGTGCCAACTGACAATACTTTGAAGATAGCAGCCTACTGTGATTCTGACTGGAGAGCTTGTGTTGAGACACGGAAGTCAATTACTGGCTATGCAATAAAGTTTGGTGATGCCTTAATCTCGTGGAAGTCTAAGAAACAAGAAACTATGTCCAGAAGTTCTGCTGAAGCTGAGTTTAGAAGTATGGCTGCCAATGTGGCAAAAATTATATGGATGATTGGTCTATTCAAGGAGTTGGGATCAGAGGTACATGTACCAGTTAGGTTGTTTTTGACAGTAAAGCTGCTATTCAGATTGCAGCTAATCCTATCTTTCATAAAAGAACAAAACATATAGATATTGATTGTCACTTTGTAAGAGAAAAGAATCAAGAAGGAAAGATTCAGACTCAACACACTAGGACTAAAGAACAACTTGCTGACCTACTTACAAAGAGCATGTGCAGACCACAACATGATTATTTGATGGACAAGCTGGGAATGAAGAACATGTATTCATCCCTCAGCTTGAGGGGGAGTATAGAAGTTAGTGGTGATACAAATGTCACTTAATAATGTACAGTTGTTAGTTAGGTGTTAAGTTAAGTGAAAAAAGTTAGTTAGATTAGTTAATATGTCTCTGTTAGTCATTAGTATATAAGATAGAAAAGAGTCTATAAATATACACATAACTATTCATTTGTGTCTGAACTTCTAGAGCTTATCAATGAAGCTATTTCTCTCTCATTCTTCTACTTTCTCTCATCCATCATGGTTGAACTCACCAACACTTGGTGGTGTACAGGAGCAGATCTTGAATGTAATTCAAAGGGTTTGGTCGAATATAATAATTTTGGTCCAAATTTATACTTGTCATAAAAAAGTCAATTGAATATATATAAATTATTAATTTAAAACTCAATAACTTAAAATGACTAAATCCCGAGCCCATAACATTTAAATTTTGGCTCCGTTGATTGTGTGGTAGGGAGAGTTCGCCAAAGGAAGAGTACCAAAAAGGGGGTTAATGCACTACATGTGTGTTGACATCAATCATGTTTAAACCTCACACGAAGTTTTGTTCCTTCATGTTTATGTTTGTCATTCTTGTTGCCAATCAATTATGAATCATTGTACTTGTGGATTGTTTTCCAACTCCATTATTAGGGTATTTTGATTCACATGAAATGGCTAGAGCGACGTAACTTTAAATATTCTTTGTCATGAGACTCAAAGATTGTTTGTCGAAAAACGGGAAATCATTGCTAGATCTTCTGCATGAAAACCCTACTAGCCTATTGCACATGATCTTCTGTGATCCAACCCCTTTAGTGTTTCCATAAATATTGTAAACTAATCCTTAATTACTTATTGCACCCTAACTTTAGATGTATACACATATTTATTTACGCCCTACTATAATGATTTTTCATGCATACTGACTTTATTAATATTAAAATAAAGTGATGAAAGTAAACTTAAAGGTGAACAAGGCTCCAAACTTCAAACTTTAATAGTTTACAGAAAAGAAAAAGAAAACCTTCACTCAACTGCTAGCTAATCTTATCTATGAAATAGATTGGTAATGATAGAGCACGAAAAAATAAAGAAGGGAAAAAGGTTTAGATCGGTAAACAGACTTTTTGTGGTTCTTAATTTTAAACTAAAAATTAATGCTTGTTAAGAGAGTATAGAATAAGAAACTTAAACTTTCGAAAGAAAAGTTAATTTGTACTAGTTCTTCATTGGGAGTGGCTTAAAGGTAAGAATCATAGTGTAGGTAAAATAAAATAATGCTGACGAAAAGGGAAAACCATTCTTTTGGGCCATTAGCAATTTTATATGGTTAGGGATACATCAAAGGAATATAGTTTATGATGACAAAAGATAGTAGCTGTTTGAAAGTCTCCATAATGAGTGGGTGCATCGCATACTTCAACTGGAGCTTAAAGCATCAATTAATATTTTTCTTCAAATAATTAACATATACATTCACGTATAGGCATGTAGATGCTCAATTATGTCAGTAATGGATTAAACTTATAACACATTCTTCTTCCATCCTAGATTAATTAACTATACATTCTCTAGGTAGTACGTTTCAATTTTTTCAAAACTATTATAATCCTCATATCTTCCTAAATTTAATACCTATATATATATATTTCTTAAAAGGCAAAGATCGCTTATTGGCCAATCGGCCAAAAATAACTATTATGGTATAGTCTACGAAGCATTTAAGTAAATTTGTTCGAGTCGTCGAAAAAAGAAAATCTGTTCGAGGCAAAAATTTAGTTTACACATTTGATCGATCAGACAATAATAATAATAATTGCTAATCAAATATATAAAATTATTTACCGATTATGTATAAAATATATGCATTATTTGTATATTATAGTTAATATATAAAAAATTATATATTTTCCTGCTATTATTATGGAGCGGCTATACAGTGTAACATCACTTCTTCTCAAAAATATTATTGATAAATTGTTATTTTTTCATGAAAAATTTACACCCCATAACTAACTTATACATTATATTTATCATAAATAAATAAATACAATTTGAAATAATTATAATTTCTAACTACACTTTAAATTTTATAGCAAATATCCTCTCTAAGAGGATTTCTAACCCTATAACCCTCGTCTCGCTTCCCAGATTTCACTCCTCCTCCAACTTCGTTGAATCTGAGTCTAACCCCGGCCGCCGCCGATTCTCCCATTTTTACTTTCTCTAAACAACCGATCCATATGAATTCTCCAGTCACTTCTGAAGTTAATGGGACATTAGATGGACCACAATGGAGAACACAAACCTTCCGCTATCGGTGGTCTCCTTGACGGTGCGTCCGACGATAAACGTAGACGGACTTTCAGTACCCCGGCAAACGTGATGGAGAGCTTGAAGAAGCTTAGAATAGTAGATTTGTTGCTCGATTTGAGTTCTCCACGTCGATTGATGATAAGGAACAATTTTCTAATGCAAAATTCAGAATGATTCTCATGAATTGTACTTATGTTGATCTAGACTGCAGAAAAAAGAAAATAGAGGCGATGAGATTCTGGCCGGACACAGCGTATACAATCATTCAAATCTGGCCATAGTTTAGAACGTTGAATACAGTGTATTCTCATGTCTGGGTGATCAAATCTGGTTGGAGTAAAACTTCGGTTTGGGATACGGTTTGATACAATGTATTTTTTGATATTTTTTCATACAGTGTTTGCTTGAGAATGTAGTTATATTTGACTATATTTGACTTGTTTATCAATGTTGTTGCTTTTTCATAATTGTATTCTTTTTTAATGTATTTTTCTAGAAATATATCCAATCTCTCATAGGCTCTATGTATCCAAATACAGCCATTATGTGGGAACAAACGGTTGATATAATTTTTCATCAAAATTGTATTCATTAATACAACCATTATGCACGAAGGAATACAGTTGATACAACTTTTCCATTAAAACTATATTTATTGATATAGCATGACAATGGATTGATACAATGAAATTTGAGTTTGGTTGTATGCATTTGATACAATGAAATTGATACATTATCTATAAAAGGTGATTAGGCAAACTATATTTACGTATGATAATTATGATTTAAGTTATAGTGCTTTTTGAAAATTGTCTTTTCCATTCTTACCACGAGGACCCAAGAATTGTCATCAATATAATATAGTGGGGCCAATGAGAGGAGCCCAAATTGGGGCCAACCCACCAATATGTGGAATGACATAAGTGGGGGCGATAACACATATTGGTGGACCTAAAACCCTTATGCCTCCATCTTTCTGCTAGTTCCAAAAATATATTTTGTAGGTTTAAAGCCATTGAGCATAGGCTATAGGCTAGGTTTGGCTACACCAGTTCCTAATTGAGAGGAACAAGAAACAGAAACCGATTACTACATTTAAATATGATTCTCTAGTTCCAAATATAGTAACATCAATCTTTAGCCTCATCTTCTAATTTCTAGTTAAGGTGGTCCTACTAATGTGTGATACCCTTTTTAATTAGCTTTTACTTAAAAAAACTCTTTATTGGTTAACGTGAACTCATTTTTGAGCCGATAGAAATACGTTGTCAGACAGCAAACCATATGTAGCTCACTAATCCTTTTGTGACACTAAATGCAGACATGATGTTAGTATATATTTGAAAAATGTTCAAATGCATATATGGTTCAAATCGAATTCCATATTGCGAATTTGATATACATATGTTTAAGCCAAAAATAACGGGTCCACTATCTATAATATTGCGCATCGGCAGCATGTTTTTTGTTTGATTTTTGCTAAAATTAGATATAAATTAGTAAATAAATTTAAAAAATCAGGCACAACTTAAATGGCAACGACTAAATAGGCGCCCGTAATTTTTTTACTTAATACAACAACTTAAAATGATGTTGGTCTCAAGTTATTACATTTCAGCAGAACGATGGCAAACTATCGTTGTGGGTAGAAATAAAATGGTAAGCTCAACAATATACTACAAAGAATAAAAAAGAAGTGACAAGGTTTTGTTAGAGCGTCCCATAATTGTTGAGAAAATGAACTGTTATCTCATTATATTACAAATATTATGCTATGTAATTAGTAGGAATTTGGTCCCAAATCCACAATCAAAAGGACATTCACAATGTATACAGTGCCTAGGTGGCTTAGGAAGTTTAGATGGTACTTCTTTAATTAGAAAAAAGGGACAACCACAAAGTTCAAATTCATTCGCCTACCATATTGCCTAGTCAAAAGGAGCACTAACAACTTCTTCTTTTTTTTGAAATATGGTGCAAAGTAAAGAGATGATTGAAACTAATTTTATGTGGAGTTCTTGAAAATTCACAACTTTACGAAATCTTGTAACTATTTGACACTGTGGCTCTTATAAACATGGCCAAGTGTTGGTGCATTTGGTCATTATATATTTATATATTGGTCTTTGGAATCTTCAAGAATGCAAAAGATTTAAATAAAAGAAAATATACACAGTCATCACGAGAACATTTTCAAAAGCATTAACTACCCAATTGATTGGAAGTTTATAGTTGAACCGAAATTATACTGAATTATATATAGTATGTATTATGGCATCGCAAATGCTTCTTGACAATGCACACAATTAGAAGGGAGAAATAGTAGTGAGAACTTTCAATGTTTAGGATTGGACAGAATATTCAAGTCAGTACAAGTGTGTACTACACTTATAAATTTGAATTGCCTCATGGAGTTCATCAGAGGCCTTAATTGGCAAAAAGATATCAACATTAATATTAACATTATTAGAGGTCGAAGTGGGTTAGAAGAGTTATAAAGATTATAATATTAATCAACGTCACAAA